CGCTTTCTCTCTCTCTCTCTCTCTTTCTTCCTCTCTCTCTCTCTCTCTCTCTCTCTCTCTCTCTTTCTTCCTCTCTCTCTCTCTCTCTCTCTCTCTCTCTCTCTTTCTTCCTCTCTCTCTCTCTTTCTCTCTCTCTCTCTCTCTCTCTCTCTCTCTCTCTCCCTTCTCTACTCCCTCTCTCTTCCCGCTCTCTCTGCCTCTATTTCCGACCCTTTCTCTTTCTACGTCGCTCTCTCACTTCTCTCTCTCTCTCTCGTCCTTACTTACCTTGGCGGGCATGTTAGATAGAGCGTAGTAGGGTCGTCCGGGGTGAACCAGCGTGACAGCAAACGTCGCTTTCAGATGCGGTTCGTCGAAGCATGGGAACGCAGTCCGAGCTAGCGTCGGCTCAAATGCCGTGCCCGTGTACGAGTAACTGTACGGCGAATACACAGCTAGCTACAGCTTCAGTAGAGCAGCATGCACAGACATACACAGATATGCAGACCTAACCCTAAACCGAACCCTAACCTTAATCTAACCCTAACCCGAACCATAACCTTAATCTAACCCTAATCCTAACCATAACCGTAACCGTAATCTAACCCTAATCCTAACCCTAACCTTAATCGAACCCTAATCATAAACCTAACCTCAACCTAATCCTAACCCTAACCTTAATCGAACCCTAATCATAAACCTAACCTCAACCTAATCCTAACCCTAACCTTAATCGAACCCTAATCATAACCCTAACCATAACCTAACCCTAATCCCAACCCTAACCATAGCCATACTCTAACCCTAACCCTAACCCTAACCATATCCGCATAGATACGTACGAGCATACATGTAGATACACACAGGTATACGTGTAGATATATGATTAGTATACGTGTATATATATATATATATATATATATGTGTGTGTGTGCGTGCAGATATAAATTCAGATATGTATCAATCAAGGGTGGCCGGAGGTTTAAAGACTTCACTGGATAATCCCACATTAATATTGTGAAAACCCCGCATAGGATTTTTTCGATTCCTATTAAATCTACCTCCGACAAATGGCACAGTGGCTATGATTGTTGCAGCAGTTGTCATCATTGCTCAGTGTTGCTATAGTTACGTGGCCTCACCTCAGTTACCGCGTGTTGCCACAGATACCTTGCGTTGCCATAGCTACGCTGAATCGCTATAGTTATCTCGCGTTGCCATAGTAACCGCGTATTGCCGTCATCGCGACGGTCGCGCCGCGTTGTCATGGTTACCTCGTGTCGGCTCCGCTGCTCGTGTACGTTGCCGTGAAGAAGCCGACGTCGCTGTTGACGGCCATCGTCGCTTCGTACTCGATGTGAATGCGGTAGCGGCCGGGCTGCATCGCTGGCGTCGTTACCAAGACCCAGAAACTCTCTCCATACTCCACTCTCGTCTGCAGCCTCCTCCCTCCACGCTCGCCCTCCTCCTCATCCTCATCCTTATCCTCTGCCTCTGTATGTTGCGTCACGTACGTCTCCGTGAAGTTCAGGTATAGCTGGTTGCCGAAGATGAAACGACACTCGCGCGTGACGTCGACGATGACGTCAGCGGCGCCATACGCGACGCCGGCGTCCATGTCCGGCAGGATGTAGAGGGCGTAGTGCACGGGCCGGATGTGACGCGCGAGCAGCGGAAGTCGCGAGAGCGTCTCCTCGTCGGCTGCTGTCATGCCGGTGGCGTTTACCCCGCTGTCACGTGACCCTGCCGCGTCGTCGTCGTCGCCGACGGCGTCGGCCGCTAGAGAGCGCTTGAGTATGCGGTGCGCGTCGGCGGCGCTCGCCGACGTGACGTCACGTAGTTTTCTCGGAAGCGGAGCGTCTGCTGACCACGTAATGCCCAGCTGGTCAGTGTGTAGCGGGCGGACATCCGGGTCCGCACAGCCGACGTGCACGCCGACGCAGGCCACGGACAGTAGCGCTAGTAACATCTGTTGCTGCCTCCACATGATTGCTGTTACTGGCGACCTGCCACCGATAATTATGTGCAGTCAACTAGTGGTTGCTGCTGCCGCTGCTGATGCTGCTGCTGATGCCGCTGCTGCCGTGCACATGACTGCCTGATGCTCTCTCGTGCGCGCGCTCTCTCTCTCTCTCTCTTGCCGCCGCCTCTCTCTCTCTCTTCTCTCTCTCTCTCTCCTCCGGCCGCGCGCGCTCCTCTCTCTCTCTCTCTCTCTCTCTCTCTCTCTCTCTCTCGCTCTCTCTCTCTCTCTCTCTCTCTCTCTCTCTCTCTCTCTCTCTTCTCTCGCACAGCTCTCTTTCGCCGTTTGTTGTTGCCTCCCTCTCCTTTTCTCACTGCTCTCTTCTTCTTCAAATCTTCGCCCTCACGGTGTTCGCTCAGCCTCTAAACGCAGTCCTCACGATGGTGGGGGGGTAATCGCATAACTAATACAACACTTCGGCCGCAGACACACAGATCAGGGAAGGAAGCCCGCTGAGGCAAGAGGACGACCTGCACGCATAGCACCACGTAAGCGTCGCTCCATCGTTAGCGATGACCTTTGCCGTCATCGCCCGCTCTTCTTACCCTGCTCAGTCACGTGTCCTCGGTGACGTCACGGCTTGCCGCACTGCAGCGCCCCGCTGGCGACTGGTAGCTGGTTCACACGATTGCCCTGCGCGTTGACTCGTGTTCTGTGGGCATCACAGCAGCAGCCGCAGCAAGCCAGCAGCCAGGCAGTGGAAGCGTAACCCGAAGCCAGCGCTGCCAGCGTAGCAGCCATCACGACCGATCCTAACTACTCACGAGAAGCGCGAACAGATGCTGCCGGTATGCTTGGAATTCTTGAGGATGCTGCTGCTGTTCTTGCTACTGCTGGTGGCGGCTGCGTGCTGCTGCTGCCCTACTGCTGCTGGTGTGTGCCTGCTCTGGGGGGTGGTGGTGGGGCTGCCCCTGCTGCTGCCTACCATGCCTGCCTGCGTGGTCTGGTGCTTGTCTGCTGGTGGTGGTGCCTGGCTGGTGATCGCTGCGCTGCTCGGTGGTGGCTGGCTGCGCTGCTGCTGGCTGCCTACTGCTGGTGGCTGGCGACGTGGTGCTGCTTGCTGCCTACTGCCTGCCTGGTTGGTTGGTGCTGCCTGCTGCTCGCAGTGGTGTGGTGGTGAGCTGCTGCTGCTGGTCGGTGGTGGCTGGCTGCTGCTGCCCCCTGCTACTGCTGGTAGGCCGGGTGCCGTTGCTGCTGCTTGCCTACTGCTGCTGCGTCGGCTGGTCCTGCTTGCTGCTGCCGTGGTCAGGTGGTAGGCTTGCATGCTGCTGCTGCTGTGGTGGCGGGCAGCGCTGCTGGCTGCTTGCTGCTCGGTGCGTGGTGCGTGGTGTCGCCGTGCCTCGTTGTTGCCTGCTTGCTGCTGCTGCTGCTGCGTGGTGGTGGTGGTGCGTCTGCCTGCTGCTAGCTGCTGGTGCGTGGTGGTGCTGCTACTGCTGCTGCTGCTGTGCTCTCGCAGTGGTGGTGGTGGGTCGCGTGGTGCTGCTGCCCTGCTGCTTTGCTGCCTGCCTGCCTACTGAGGTGCTTTTTGGCTGCTGCTGCTATCTTGCCTTGGTGCGCGCGGTGGTGCTCGACCGCTGCTACTGCTGCTGGTGGTGTGGTCCCAGGTTGTGCTGCTGCTGCTGCTGCTGCCGGTCTGGTTGCGTGCTGCCTGCTCTGCTGCTGCTGCTGCTTAGGTCGCGTGGTGTGTGGTGCTGCCGTGCTGCTGGCTGCTGCCTGCTGCTTACTGCTGCTGCTGCTTGCGGCTGGCTGCTGCCGCGGCTGGCTGGCTGCCTCGCTACTGCTGCCCTAATTACTGTCCCTACTCCGAGGTCAGCGCAAAATAATTACATGGACACAAACACGCCCACGCACGCACGCACACGCGCAACACACAGCATAATGCACATACACGCGCCACGCCACTACGCACGCACGCAAATATACAAAAGCGCACACACGCACGCACTCACGCCACGGCACGCACGCCACGCACACACGATAAACTGCTGGAAAGCTATAACCCAGTCAGTCCTGCGTGGGGTAAACAACTACGGAGCTGTGTATATAGCAGTTACTTCTACGGAGTATAGTACGAGGAGTCAGATCCCAGATGCCTCCTCCGCTGACCGCTTGCCTGCCCTCTATCGGCCGATTCACGTCTATAGCCGCCTTAGAAGAAGCTCATGCCCAAAACTTACTGCATACAGGTAAAGCATAAATAAATATATACACAACATAGACCATATACATCACAATATAGAACGCTTACGTGTACACCGTGAATATATATAGTATATATATATATATATATATATATATATATATATATATATATACCACATAGACACATATATAATATATATGTAGGCTATTACTAGATATGATTAAACATGGATATATCTACGAGCACAGACATATACCGCACGTACAACGGTGCGGTTTATATGCCACGGAGTATGGCGCTGTCCTGACTCGGGGGACACGGCGGGAAAGGAGCAGGTGTGCAATTAACATGCATATTTAATTACTCATCGTCGGCAGAAATAAATTATAAATTACGCAAATGAGCGAGTGGCGTCCGACTTTGCTCCCCTGTTAGTTACAGAGCTAGAGGGAGTCGGGGGCGGTAGTTGAATGATCTGCTAACGATGGAGAGATATTATAATATTCCTCATCGCATCACTGCATGGCGACACAATGATTAGAGGAGTGAGGAGGGAGGGGTGAGTGGGGAGTGAAGGGGGCAGTGGGGAGGGAGGGGTAGTGGGGAGGGAGGGGTAGTGGTGAGGGAGGGGGGAGTGGGGAGGGAGGGGGTAGTGGGGAGGGAGCCGTAGAGCGATAGTCGTGAATCGTATTGTGATAATGTGATTGATTGCTGATTGTACCCCTGGCACCCTGGCAGATGGCAGAGGTGGGGGAAAATAGCGCAGGAGAGAGGAAAGGAGGGAAAGAGGAGGGAAAGAAGAGGAGAAAGAGAGCGATCGAAAGAGGCGGGGAGAGAGAGATGCAGGTGATAGGAAGAGGGGGAGAGAAAGAGAGGCGAGGGGAGAGAGAGAGAGAGAAAGAAGAGAGAGAAAAACAAAGAGAGAGAGCTGGAGAGAGAGAAAGAACAGGAGAGAGAGAGAGAGAGAGAGAGAGAGAGAGAGAGAG